GCCATTTCTTTATACGACAGTGCTATATGACCCCAGCTGCTCCATTCAGCCTCCCAGTAACAGCGTCCAGTCAGAATCTCTCTACATAGAACCTGAGGATGGCGCTCAAATCTCTCTGGATGATCAGGATATGCCTGACGCTCCTCCACATATGTGATCTTCCTGTTCTCCTCGGATATCTGGAGTTGATTGTGCGCTGTGTTTGGATCCAGCGTAAGCTCAAATGCATCTGAACACAAGAAGAGGGTATGAGATGACAATTACAGCTGTACACCAATTAAAATGTAATTTAAGCCTGACAACACTGATTTTACATGATCATAAGTTGGACAAATCATGCATGCAAATACAGTGCACATAAAGAAAGACAGAGTGAAAAAGGGCAGAAATGGCCTACATTTTCTCAGTCCTGGGGTGATTCGGAAATATGCAGCATGGTCCAAACTAGAAAGGAACAAGGAACCACAAATGAATAATGGCTAATGATAAATGTTTAACAATGCATTGCCAAAAGTTCTGGGACATCTTCTGTTAGATCCACACAAACTTCAATGGCATCCCAGTCCTAATCCATAGGATTTAATTAGGAATGGATCAACCTTTGCAGCTATAACAACTTCCTCTCTTCTCCGAAAGCTTTCCACAAAGTTTAGCAGTGTGCTTATGAGAACTCTTGACCATTCTTGACCTTCTATATTCTTACAGAAGGGCATTTGTCGAGGTTAGGAACTGATGTTGGGCAATAATGCACAGTTCAGAGTCTCCAAACCTACCTAAATGTTTTCGGGTTGAGGTCATGACTCTGAGGTGAGATCCAGTCCAGTCCTCCAAACCAAAAACACTCACGAAATCTGTTCTCACAAATTTGGGAGCATAAGTTTGTTAAACTAATGGCCCTACCCCAACCCCTGAAAAACAAGCCAACATCATCACATCTTCATTTCCAACTGGGGATACTCATCCCGAGGTCTTCCGATTATGCGGAGTCACTGATTGGATCCAAGACCAGCGACGAGATGATCCCAAGGTGTCCATATCCGGGACCAGGCCGTATCCTGAGCAGCTGCTGCGCTGTTGGTCATAGGGGAGTGGAGAGTATGAGACTGATTCCAGTGACGCTCCAGGGACAGACGAGTCTTCACTGAGGCCAGCTTCCAGCCTCCACCACTGAGACTGAAGCTCTGCACAAGACTGTTGGCCAGCGGAGAAATTAAAATGGTCGTGCCCAACTGAGCCTGGTTCTCTCAGGGTTTTTTTTTCTTCACTCTCTTATTGGTGAAGTTTTTTTTCCCTCTCCGCTGTCGCCACTAGCTTGCATGGTTCAGGATCTGAAAAGCTACGCATCGATGCATTTGCTCTTCAGTGTTTGAACTCTCAGTAATGGACTCTCATAACCCCCTCGACCAAACATTACACTTGACACAATTCAGTCAGGCAAGTCTCATTCTTTAGACGCTAACCAAACCCAGAATTGTCCACCAAACGATGCTCAGGAGTCAAATGCGATCTTTTTACACCAGGGGTCACCAATCTCAGTCCTGGAGGGCCGGTGTCCCTGCAGGGTTTATCTCCAACTTGCCTCAACACACCTGCCTGGATGTTTCAAGTATACCTAGTAAGACCTTGATTAGCTTGTTCAGGTGTGTTTGATTAGGGTTGGAGCTAAAATCTGCAGGACACCAGCCCTCCAGGAGCAAGTTTGGTGACCCCTGCTTTACACCATTGCATCCAACAGTTTTCTGTGCACTTGATGATGATGTATGGCAGGGGTCACCAATCTCGATCCTTGAGTCCTCTCAGAGGTCCTCTCTGTCACCACACCGTCCTGGGTGTTTCAAGTATACCTAGTAACACCTTGATTAGCTTGTTCAGGTGTGTTTGAAAATCTGCAGGACACTGGCCCTCCAGGAACAAGTTTGGTGACCACTAATGCAGCTTCTCGCTCCAGGAAACCCAGTCCTGGAGCTCTTTGAGCTTGTCTGAAGGCAACTTAATGGTTGGAGGTCTGTAATACTGTGTGCCTCAGCAAACATTGACCCCGCTCTGCGATTTTATGTGGCCTACCACTTTGTGGCTCAGTTGATGCTGTTTCCTTTTTCTTCCAGTTTGTTATATTACCACTAACAGTTGTGTGTGGAATATTAAGTAGTGATCTCACAAATAGACTTTTACTAATGTTGGTAGAAGCATCTGCATGCCTAGTGCTTGGTTTTATACGCCTGTCGCTATGGGAGTGATTGGAATACCTGAATTTAATGATTTGGAGGGGTGTCCCAAAAATGTAGGCAACATATATACTTGTATATAATTAAGTACGATTAAAAGCACATTTCTAGAATAGCATTCCCTGACTGCCCCACATACTTGAGTTTCTGCAGTGTGTAGTGTGGATCCTCCAGTGTGTGTTGGAGCAGCTGGACTCCTGATTGTCCTGGGTGATTGTAGCTCAGATCCAGCTCTCTCAGGTGTGAGGGGTTTGAACTCAGAGCTGAAGATAGAAAACCACAGCCTTCCTCTGTCACCATACAGCCAGACAACCTGCAGACACAAACACTGGGGTTCAAATTTTAAGACAGTATTGAATCTGAAACATTAAATGATCATGACACAATATGAAACTCAAACCTCAGTATCTCCAGCTGACAGTTTGGACTCTTCAGTCCATCAGAGAGCAGCTTCACTCCTGAATCCTGCAGGTCATTGTTACTCAGGTCCAGCTCTCTCAGGACACAGTTTGAGGATTGAAGAACTGACGACACAATTTCACAATCCTGAGCAGAGAGATTACAGCCAGCAAGACTGGAAGAAGAGAAAAACACACAGTAAATAAATTTCTCCCAAAACTAATTTGAACACTAACACTTGGTCAAACCCTCACAGAGCTCTTGTGCAGTTGCTGACGGCTGGTATCAGTCTTCTCCTGCCCTCATCTGATGTGTTGTATTTCTGGAGCTCCAGCTCATCCAGCACCTCCTCTGACATCTGAAGCATGTAGGCGATTGTTGAGCAGTGAGCAGGAGAGAGTTTCTTCTCTGACTGTTTGTCTGATTTCACAAACTCCTGAATCTCTCTGGACAGAGTCTGATCTTTCACTTCCAGCAGACAGAGGAACAGATTGATGGATCTTTCAGTGGAGAGTCCATGTCCATCTCTGATCTTCTCTTTAATGTACTGTGTGCTTCTCCTGATGCTCTCTGAGCTCTTCTCTGTGTGTGTCAGTAGATCCTGCAAGAGTTTCTGATTGGACTCCAGTGAGACGCCCAGCAGGAACCGCAGGAACAGATCCAGACGCCCATTCTCACTCTCAATGGCTTTATCTACTGCTCTTTTCTGTAAATCATGCAGTGAATCCAAACATGCTTCTGCAGTGTTGCTTATGTGGTAGTAAAACACATATAAAGCAGCGAGGAACTCCTGAACACTCAGATGGATGAAGCTGTAGACTTTCCTCTGCTGAATCACAGATTCCTCCTTAAAGATCTCAGTGCAAATCCCAGAATATATTGAGGTGTGAGCTGCATCTACACCGCTCTCAATCAGGTCCTCCTCATAGAACATCACATTGCCCTTCATCAGCTGTCTGAAAGCCACTTCAGCAAGTTTGACAATCACTTCTCTGTTGGACTGCAGGAGTTTCTCTGGATCTCTCTCTTCATACTTCTGATTCCTCATGTTGATCTGAATCAGCAGGAAGTGGATGTACATTTCAGTCAGAGTTTGAGGGATTTCTGCACTCAGATCTTCTTCCAGGAGCTTCTGAAGCACAGTGGATGAGATCCAGCAGAAGACGGGTATGTGGCACATGATGTGGAGGCTTCTTGCTCTTCTGATGTGTGAGATGATTCTGCTGGCTTGATGCTGCTCACTGATTCTCTTCCTGAAATATTCCTCCTTCTGAGGCTCAGTGAATCCCTGAATTTCTGTCAGACGCTTGATGTATTTGGAGGGGATCTGATTGGCTGCTGCTGGTCTGGAGGTGATCCAGATGAGAGCAGAGGGAAGCAGCTCTCCTTTCATCAGCTTTGACATCAACACAGTCACTGATGAAGTCTCAGTCACATCACAAACTTTCTGAGCGTCTGAAAACATCAGTGTGATTCTGCTTTCATCCAGACCATCAAAGATGAACACAACTTTACACTCCTCATAAATCTTGGGCTCCAGATCTTCAAGTTCAGGATGAAAGTCCAGCAGAAGTGTGTGAAGACTGTACTGATGATCTCTGATCAAGTTCAGCTCTCGAAATGGAAGCACAAACATGAAATCTACATCCTGATTGGCTTTTCCCTCGGCCCAGTCCAGAATGAACTTCTGCACAGAGACGGTTTTTCCGATTCCAGCGATGCCTTTAGTAAGAACAGTCTTGATTTGCTCTTTCTCCTCTTTAAAGATGTCATTGCAGTAGATTGGAGTGTGTTGGGAGTGTTTTGTTCTGGCTGTTTTCTCCATCTGTAAAACCTCATGTTCTTCATTCACTCCTTCACTCTCTCCCTCTATGATGTACAGCTGGGTGTAGATCCGGTTCAGGAGGGTTTGGTTCTCTTGGAGTCTGTTTCCCTCAAATAATCTCTCATATTTATTCTTCATGCTGGTTTTGTGCTGGTCTTTGACTCTCTGTACTTCATCATGTACAGATTTTTCCAGGATTCCAGGGTTCTCCTGCTGGTCTGCTCTTGTGATGCCGTGAGCAGAACCAGAAAAACTGGATCCCCATCTGCATCTCTTTCTGCATGGAGGACAGTCAATGTCTTCTGTGGGTCTGGACTCGGAAACTCCACATCTGGACTGACTCTGGCTCAGATTTTCTTTCTTTCTGCTGAGTCAAATAATAAATATCAATTCTTAATCACAAAATAACCATGGAGAGAAGGGTCATTAGCAAAATTGCTCATGCTAACAAAGAAATATAGCATTCAACTTAAACATTTTCACTCAGTATAAGATTTATACAAGGCAAATCTGTATTTATGCTGTTTTTCAGTATCAGCAATTTGTCTTACCCAAGGTCAGAGGTCACAGGTCCATCACTGATGTTAGGTGGCATAACTAAAGATCCAGTACTCTTCACAGACACACAGCTGGGTTTTGGAGAGGCTAGTTTGTGCCTGCTGACAACAACTAACTCTTAATCAGTCTCTAATCATGTATTCAATGAGGTTTAATCAATGTCAGTTGTTTGTTTTACCTGGGGTCAGAGGTCACAGCTCCATCACTGATGTTAGGAGGCAGGAATAAAGATGTGTTACTCCTGATAGACACCCCGCTGGGTTCTTCAGTGACCCTCGCCTGCATCTCTTCATCCAGCACCTCACAGAGATTACCTTTTTAGATGCAATGCTGAGCTGCTCTTTGTGGTATGGCGCCATCAACCCTGTGCCACAGTCAAACACACACACCAAATACCAATTTAAATAAATGAATTATCTGCAAACTATGTTTGGGAAAATGCTGTCTTGTGATAGAGTACAGTAATCAATATTTCCTCCCTGCTGAAAAATCCAGCTTTAACCAGCCTAGGCTGGTTGGCTGATTTTAGCTGGTTGACCAGCCTGGTTTTAGAGGGGTTTTGGCCATTTCCAGGCTGGTTTCCAGCCATTTCCAGACTGGTCTTAGCTGGTCATGAGTTTGGGTCATGACCGAAAAGACAAGATCACAGATACAAGCAGCGAAATGAGTTTCCTTCACAGGGTGAGGAGCTCTGTCACCCGGGAGGAGCTCAGAGTAGAGCCGCTGCTCCTCCACATCCAGAGAAGTCAGCTGAGGAGGCTCGAGCATCTGTTTCGGATGCCTCCATGACGCCTTCTTAGGGAGGTGTTCCAGGCATGTCCCACTGGGAAAGCCTCTGGGAAGACCCAGGACACGCTGGAGTCAAGCTTTAACTAGGAAAACTAGCTAAACTTAAGAAATTTTTGAGTGAAATGCTATTGGTGAAATCCCCTTCAATGGTCTATGCTAAGCTAAGCTAAAGTCGTATAAGACCATTAGCATCTCGATCAAAATTGAATAAAGAATTCTAATAACATAACATGGTACAGCAAAGTTCCCTGATTATTATGCTGGAATTAGAGTATTAGAGTATTAGAGTATAGTTCCCAGCCAGTGGCAGATTTAGGCATGGGTTAGGGTTTTTTTCTAGAGCAAGTGTATTGTTATCACCACTTAAAGACAGACATTTTATTCATTTAAAATGTTTCAAGCTTCTCAAATTTCTCTCATCAATCTTTAAATAATCAATATAAATTTTCCCCAGAACCCTTTCATTCTCATTTCCTTTAAGCTCAGCTAAAGTCTTATTTTCTGTTTCTCACTCACAGCTGCTCTAATTTAAAGCACATCGGTGTTTTTAATCACAATTTGTGCAATTATTGCATATATTTACCACACTATATGAAGAAACATCACAGCATTAGTAAATGTTCTTAATGGTTCAGCTCTAACAGTATTTTTTGTCTTGTGAAGTCATGAATGACTCAAATACTTATAAAATATCAAACAGATTACTCTGGTTACTAGTTCATGGATTTAATAAATTAATTCTGGTTGAAGCTGTGCAATTTATGGATAAACAGTTTTACAGTACATCATCTGCCTTAATCATTACATTAAACACCACTAGAAATAAACCTGTTGTCAAATGTCTTAGTCATTTTGATCAATGCTTAAGTCATTCATTCACAGGTTGAGCAAATAAATCAGGTCAATTCCCTACAGATGGGGAACATTTTAACATTTTTCATAACATTAAACTTTGTAAATCTTTTAATATGACAGAGCTTTAAAAATGTACTCACCATGACAGATGATCCTGCAGGTTAATGTTGCTTTTTCAGCCTGTTTCCTTGTCACAGAATGCTGCAGTTTAAGTTATACAGAGATTTTAGAGTTTTCAGCTGTTCAACTTGCTCGACTGGTTTCATGAAGCACTTCAGGGGGAAAAAACATGTTACAGAATGGAAAAACCAACCAAGCTATACTTAGAACACAGAGCACTGCAATTACCCCATGTCAAAAATATCAACATTTACTGACTTCAGATGATATTTTAGCAGAAATGAACAAACACCTTTATAAGATAACTGTTTTATAAAAGCACTAAACCATTATTCATACTGAATTAAAAGAGCTAACTGGTGTTACTCAACTTGCAATGAGCCAGAACAGTATCTCACATCTGGGTGGGGGGGGGGGGGGTGAGAAAAACAAAAATAAATATCTTGATTACGTCTAGGATTTTATCAATTAAATTTTTCATTAAAAGCACAGTTAAACAGTGTTATCCTGCATGTGTTCTAGATTGGTTTGAGTAATGTATTCCTGGATCAGCATTTGAGTTGATCCTACAAGAACATTTGAATCAGCCAATCAGATCGAATCCATACAGTTGAAGTCAGAATTATTTGCCCCCCTTTGAATTTTTTTAATTTTTTAAAATATTTCTCAAATGATGTTTAACAGAGCAAGGAAATGTTCACAGTGTGTCTGATAATATTTTTTCTTCTGGAAAAAGTCTTATTTGTTTTATTTTGGCTAGAATAAAAGCAGTTTTGAATTTTTTAAACACCATTTTAAGGACAAAATTATTAGCCCCTTTAAGCTAACTTTTTTCCGATCAGAGGGAAGTCAGAACAAACCATCATTATACAATAACTTGCCTAATTACCCTAACCTGCCTAGTTAATCTAATTACACTAGTGAAGCCTTTAAATGTCACTTTATGCTGTATAGAAGTGTCTTGAAGAATATCTAGTCTAATATTATTTACTGTCATCATGACAAAGAGAAAATAAATCAGTTATTAGAGATGAGTTATTAAACTATTATGATTAGAAATGTGTTGAAACAATCTGCTCTCCGTTAAACAGAAATTGGGGAAAAAAATAAACAGGGGTGCTAACAATTCGGGGGGGTAATAATTCCGACTTCAACTGTATATATGTTTATACACACACACACACACACACACACACACACACACACACACACACACACACACACACACATAAATTAAGGCTAACAAGGTTGTGCTTCTACGTTGTTGTTATTCAACTACGAATCCTTTCTGGTTTTGTGAATAATTTACAGCTATGGTTTGGGTTTTTGGTTAGGGGTTGGGTCATATTAGCAAAACAAAATATCAGATGTTGTTGTAATGCAGTATTTCCTTAGAGAACGCATTCATGCAGTCCTCTGTGCATTCCTTTTTTGAGAGCCTTTGAAGCAATTTAGTTATGACGCGCACATTACTTTGCTCATACAGTTACCTATAGGTGGCATGTTCTGTTCGTTATTTTCCATATCAAAACATCAGTAGATGTTGTAATGCAGGATTTTGTTATAAATCGATGAAAATGAATTTGTTAAATTTGGTTTTAATTATTGGGTTACGTTATCGTAACAAATTAATGTAACATTAACATTAAGGGTTGTAGGCCTTCTTTTATACATTAGAAAAAAAATATACCAAGCAAATATTAAACAAATAGTAGAAAATTTGATAATACATATTATTTAAAAAAAATTATAATAATAATACTATCAGCAAAAAAAATAGTACTTTAAAAACAATTCAGCCCTGGGGGTTAGGTATGGATTACATTTTCAAAAAGGAATAATGATTCAGGATCAATATTGATGTTTATCCAGTAGTAGGTAGCGTTGAATCAGTTATGATCACAAGCAGTCTGGCAGTTGCATTTTCTGCCAATGAACCAAACTAGTGCTGCGTCCCAATCCGCATACTATGCGTCCTAAATAGTATTTAAAAATAGAATTAGTATGTCTCAAACCATAGTATGTTGAAAAGAGTATGCCAGAGGTTCCCGGATGGTTTGCTAGTTCTGGTAAAAATGTTAAGTGTAGAGGCGTAATAACTGCTGATATTGCCCACAATACATTGCGCATTGGACGCGAATTCGATTAGAACTACAAACATGTGTACAAAGTGTAAACAAACTACAAACATGATGGACGCGCGAGACCAACCGTCAAGTAGAGAGCCTTCGGTAAAGATGTTTGAATGACTGTCAGTCAATATCTAGCCCACTGGACCATATTTAAATCGCATTATCTGTGTTATATTTCATCTGCAACAAAAATACTGAAGTTCTATAAAAACGCGTTTGGACGTCTGAATGTCTGAATGCAGAATTACCCAAAGCCTTGAGGAGATTTCTCTGCATAAAAGACCCCTGAATGGAAGAAATGAAATACGACAGAAATGTGGATTACGTGTGGATGATTGACAGGGGGTATAACTAAGTAACACAGCGATCTATTAAGGAAGTAGTATGTCCCAAAGCTTGCATACTCTTCTGTTGCACTCTTTAAAGTGTAAACTATTCCTTTACAAAAAATTACATACTTTTAGGGCGTAGTATATGTATGCAAATTAGGATGCAGTATACGACTAGAAGTCATTGGCTGTGTCCGAAACTGCCTACCACTCAGTAGGTACTGCATTTGAATTTAAGCGTACTACTCGGCCGTTAGAAAAGTGCATTCTATACAGTATGAATGTGAAAAGTATGAATCGAATTCGGACGTACTACATTCGCCATTTTGTCATGGTCATGTGACCTATCTGTGTCAGTTGCATTGCTTCACTTCCATTCATGAATTCTCTCGCCGGGCATCATGGGATAGCGCAGCATGCATGGGATGCACACTCCAGAATCTCGCTGGAAGTAGTAAGCCAACCTGGTAGTTCTCGCATAGTGATTTTCAAATTCTATGAATTCGGACATACTACTCGGCTCGCATACTGATTTGAGCGTACTATATAGTATGGAAGCATGCGGTTTCGGTTTCATTGCTCCGATCACTCCTGCCACAGCTGACAGTTATCTGGACACTGACACATACACAGCTGAAGTTCATCACTGAATGATTACTTGGACTATACATAAACCACACATTCACACAAAGTCTTGTTTGTTTAGGGCAAGGGTTCTCAACTTTTTCCACTTTGGGACCCACTTTTTGAAGGCCCACCAGTCTGACATTTTCTCTTAAATGTTTGTATGAAATGCTCATTTAAACCTTTATTAATTAACAAATACATGTATTATTTATTTATCAGCACTTTATAAAAATAAAAAAAAACTGACACCGTTTCAATTCACTATAATCTTCTATGTGAAGGTGCTTTGACACAATCTACATTCAAGAGTTCACACTTAGCTGATAATCAATAAAGCGTAATTGGCATGCTGTCCTGGGAGAGAGACTTGAGCTCGTAATATCCTCGGGCCCGGGGCTCCCTCCCGTTAGAAGGGCGAGAGGGCGAGAGTTTGAGCTCTGGTAGGTCTCGAGAACTCCCCTGCTTGTCGCCGTGTAAGAAGTGTAAACTAAGGTTGTCTTCGGTGATCCCTGCTGAAAAATCTAGGTTAAACCAGCCTAGGCTGGTTGGCTGGTTTTAGCTGGTCTTTTGGCTGGGATTTTGGCCACTTCCAAGCTGGTTTCCAGCCATGTCCAGCCTGGTCTTTGCTGGTCAGGCTGGGAGATGACCAGCTAAAACCAGCTTAACCAGCCTAGCCAAGCTGGGAGCCCAGCTAAAACCAGCTATGTAAAGCTTAAAACAGGCTGGTCAAGCTGGTTTTAGCTGGATTTAGCTGGTCATCTTCCAGCCTGACCAGCTAAGACTAGGCTGGAAATGGCTGGAAACCAGCCTGGAAATGGCCAAAACCCCTCTAAAACCAGCCTGGTCGACCAGTTAAAACCAGTTGAATTTAAGCTGGATTTTTCAGCAGGGATAATTGGGTTTAGTTGATTGGCTATGGTGAACACAGGGAGAACATGTAAACTTCACACAGAAATGCCAACTGGCCCGATAGGAGGTTGGACCAGCTGTGAGGCAACATTGCTAGCAACTGGGCCGCCGTTTTGCCCTATTGGAAAAAGAGTGGGAAGTAGGGGTGGAATGGGGGGGGGGGGGGGGTACTTCAAGACGCAGATAACTGGAGTGAAAAGCTCTGGTTATTTATAATGCATCTGTAATCATCTAATAGGGCATATTATGGAGCTAATGTGGTGCCAGCCATGTTGATCATAAGCACGTGATACTCTTAGTTCATAAATAAACCCCTCTTGTAAAAGCACTATACAAATAAAGATAAATTGATTCAATTGAATATCCACTCACTCAAAATATTCATTCAGAAAGGAAACACAGCAATGCTGCTCAGTTCTGTTTATAACACTTAATTGGCAAAAAAGGCATGCACTAACAAACCACCAGAACAAGAAAAAACAGCCAGGAAAATACACTCTAACAAAAGCCAAGGGTTTACAAACTCTGTGTTGTGGACTATATGTAAACGTCTTTTGTAAATAATTCTAAACATAAAAATAATATGCATTGTGTATGATCTTTCTTATTTTTAGAAAATTGTTAGCATTTCTTTCGATCCTGAAAGAGCTTCACAAATTTTTAAGCAGCACTGTAGATGCAAATGTAAACATTAGTGATGACATCAACTGGAGCTTTTATAAGATCACATCAAACGCAGAGCCCAGAGTTTTACTACAGACTATTGCATTAAGTCAGAAAATCAATCTTTTCTGTTGTAGAGTTTCATTTGTTCTCTCTGACACAAAGACACTGAGGAGTCAAAAACCATAAATCCAGCATAGAGGTCTTCAGTGAATGTGGTGTTGAATGTGTGTAAGTGTGTGAGTGTGTGTGTGTCAGAGACACTGTAGAAGGACAGAGAGCCAGCTGGCACATCCACATACACTCCAACTCTTTTAGCTGAAGAAGGAGCTGATATATCAATGCTCTTATTATTGTGCCAGACATGGAATCCATTAGCAGTGCAGAAAAGACTCCAAGATTTTTCATTGTATCCAAAACAACAGTCACTT